CTCCAGCACGCGCGGCGCACATGCCTCGCAGTACAGCGCGTGGCCGCACGCGAAGCGAACCGAGCGAGGCGCGTCGTAGCAGAGGTCGCACTGGCGCTCCTCGGCCCCAGCCGTCTCCTCCACCGCCCCCGCCGCCTCGACCAGCGCCTCCAGCCGCGGCAGCGCCTCCGCGAGCGGCATCCGCTTCTTCTTCCGAACGAACGCCAGCCCGACCACGAGCCGCGCCAGCTCCTCGGCCTGCGCCGCCGACCAGCCCGCGTCGGCCGCCGCGATGCTCTCCGCCGTGTCGGGCTCCTCCAGCGCATCGTCGCACGCGCTGAGCAAGCCAAGAGCGCCGCGGCCGGTCAGGCTGACGAGCAGCGTGATGCCGAGCGCAAAGCCATCAGTGAGCTGCGAAGCCTGGTTGTCCAGCGAGATGATCGAGTCCATGTACCCAGGCTTGCCAAAGATGCGCTGCGTCGATAGGTGCGAGACCTGTCCATTGCCGCCGGCCGTCGCCTCTGCCGCGCGCGCGAGGCCCACGTCGGCGAGGTAGCCGTTGCCGCGCTCGTCGAGCAAGATGTTGCCCGCCGAGACGTCGCGGTGCAGGATCATGGGAGAGAGCGTGTGCAAGTAGTGCAGCGCGCTCGCGGCGTCGCGCAGCACGCGGAGCCGTGCGGCGGAGGAGAGCGGCGGAGGCGGCGTCTCGAAGCCGAGCATGCGGAGCCGCTGCAGCGCGGCTGGAGCGCGATAGAGGCGGTCCTCGAGGCTGCCGCCGCGGCAGAGGGGGTAGACGAGGCACGCTCTCGCCGGTGCCAGGCAGACGCCGAGGAGAGGAAGCAGGGACGGGTGGCACGCCGCGTTGAGCGTACGCACCTCGCTCTGCAGCTCGGCGAGGCCTTGGGCGCCGACACCGACCAGCGCCGTCTTGACCGCGAACCCGCAAGCGACGCGCGGGAGCGACGGCAACGCGTCGGCGCGGTAGACGCGCCCAAAGCCTCCCTCGCCCACCTTGCGCGCCTCGGCAAAGCCGTCGGTCGCCGCGATGAGCTCGTCGAGAGGGACGGCGGCGGGCGGCGCGGCGGCGGCGGCGAGGGCAGCGACGCTCGCCGCCGCCTCCACTGCCGCTGCCGCCGCCGCTGCCTCCGCTGCCGCCTCCGCTGCCGCCGCCTCTTGAGCCTCCGCCGCCGCCACGGCCGCCACTGCCGCCTCTACAGCCGCCGCCTCCGCCGCCGCCTCCGCCGCTGCCTCCGCCCTCATCCTCGCCTCCTCCCTCTCCCTTGCAGCCTCCTCCCTTGCACTCGCCTCTGCCTCCTCCCTTGCGCGCGATGCCGCTTCCGCCTCCTCCGTCGCCCGCGCCGCCGCAGCCTCTGTTACCACCCGATCTGCTTCCTCCGCCTCCTCCGCCGCCCGCGCCGCCGCATCCGCCTCCTCCGCCGCCCTCGCTGCCTCCGCCGCCTGCCTCGCCGCCGCCTTCTCCTCCTTCTGTCGCTGCCGCTTCAGCGCCCTGGCCTCGCGGGTCCTGCGCTCCGCCAGATCGTCGCGCAGCCGCTGCGCCGCCCGCAGCGCCTCCGAGCCGTCGGCGGCGTCGGTGTTCGCGTTGATCGCCGCCCTGAGCGCCTCGAGATCGGCGTCGCCTCGCTCGCACGCCTCAACCGCCTCGCGCAGCGCCGCCTCGGCAGCATCGCGCGCCTCCGCCGCCTCCGCAGCCGCTGCCGCCTCGCGTGCGGCCGCCGCGGCCTGTTCGGCTGATTCTGCCACCGCCGTCTCCCTCTCAGCCTCTGCTTCGGTCGACGAGTGCTCCTCGAAGGCGCGCACGCTCTCGGCGTGGCCGTCCTCCTTGGCCAGCTGAAGCGCCGTCTTGCCGTCAACAGTGCGCGCCGCGTCTGCGCCCGCCCGCAGCAAGCGCCGCACGACGGCGGAGTGGTTGAGGAGGGCGGCGTACATCAGCGCGGTGAGGCCCTTGCTGTCCTGCAAGTCGACCTCCGCGCCGTGCCGTGTCAGCAAGTCGACCACCCGCTCGTGGCCTTGGCCGGCGGCGAACATCAGCGCGGTGCTGCCGTTGCTGTTCAGCAGGTTGACCTCAGCGCCGCGCCGTATCAGCATATCGACCACCTGCTCGTAGCCGTAGCCGGTGGCTAGCGTCAGCGCGGTGTCGCCGTCGCTGCTCTGCAGGTTGATCCCCGCGCCGTGCCGAAGCAGCAAGTCGACCACCCGCTCGTGGCCCATGTTGGCGGCGCACATCAGCAGCGTGATGCCGCTAGTCTCGCCTCTCTCGTATGTCGCGTCGGCCCGCCCGCCGCTGTCAAGCCACTCCAGCACCACCTCCTCCTCGCCTCGCTCCGCCGCTGCGATGACCGCATCGGGGGCTGCCACGCCACCGCTCGGCGCCCGCCCCGCCGCCACCGCTGGAGATAGCGTCTTCGCGACTCTCGATCCAGCCGAGGAAGCGCCGCCGGAGGAAGCACCGCCTGCGCCTTCGCCGCCGGCTGCCGTCGCCGTGGGCCGTCCCGCCACGACCCTCTCCTTGACGTGCTGCCTGAAGGCCTCGACGCACTCGGCGTGGCCCTCCTCCTTGGCAAGCTGCAGCGCCGTCTTGCCGTTCACATTGCGCGTCGCCGTGTCTGCGCCAGCCTGCAGCAAGCGCCGCACGACGGCGGGGTGGTAGAGGGCGGCGCTCATCAGCGCGGTGTAGCCGCCACTGTCCTGCAGGTTGATCTCTGCCCCGCGCCGTATCAGTATTTCGACCACCTGCTCGTGGCCGCTGTAGGCGGCGGTCATCAGCGCGGTCCAGCCGTCGCTGTTCTGCAGGTTGATCTCCGCGCCGTGCTGCAGCAGCAACTCGACCACTCGCTCGTGGCCGTTGTTGGCGGCGGCCATCAGCGCGGTGCAGCCTTTGCTGTCCTGCAGGTTGATATCCGCGCCGCGCTGCAGCAACATGTCCACCACCCGCTCGTGGCCCCCTTGGGCGGCGAGCATCAGCGCGGTGCCGCCCTCGCTGTTCTGCAGGTCGACCTCCGCCCCATGCCGCAGCAGCAGTTCGACCACACTCTCGTGGCCTTTGTCGGCGGCGTACAGCAGCGCGGTGAAGCCTTTGTTGCTCTGCACGTTGATCCCCGCGCCGTGCTTCAGCAGCAACTCGACCACCCGCTCGTGGCCTCTGCGGGCGGCGACCATCAGCAGCGTGATGCCGTTCACGCCGCGTCTCTTGCACGTCGCGTCGGCCCGCCCGCCACTGTCAAGCCACGCCAGCACCACCGTCTCGTCGCCACGATCAGCTGCTGCGATGACCTCGGCGGAGACTGCAACGCCACCGCTCGGCGCCGCTGGCGACAGATTGCCCGGCCGCACTCGCACACTCTCGCCGCCGCCCTCGAGCGCCACCGCGTACCGGCCGCCCTCGAAGCTCCCCGCCACGCCCCACCGCCCGTTCAGCTCGGGGCGGGCCGAGAGCCCACCGAGCACGACGCGCTGGCCGAGAAGCGGCGCCGGGGAAGCGTCCACAGCTCGGCGAGCAGCCATGTGCCCCTCTCCGTCAAATCTACGGGCGGCCTCCCGCCCAAAAGCGCCCGCGTTGAATTTTCGCTTGCGTTCACGTAAACGCACAACCCCGGGCCCCGAAATCGCACAGTGATGACAGTGACATGCAACACGGGGTCCCAGGGAAGGCGAGCAAAAACCTTGCGTTCACAAGAAAACTAATGCGACGTGAGATAGGAAGAGGCGGACGCCCAAGGGTGGGCGACGGCTAGCGCACCACACCCCTCTCCTTAGATAGAATCCCTGTGTGGTGGCGGCGTGCCGTCCTCCCATCCCTCCCTTGGGCTGTCTGTTTTCTTTCTTTCTTTCTTTACTAAGCCTCGCACACGGCACACGCACAAACACAACATTTGGTATGCTAAAATCTCTCACGTACAACACTGGGCACAGGACTCGACAAAAAAAGGTACCGTCACAGGAAACAGCCATAATAGTGAGCGCCGTGGTTTCTTGTTGGTTTTCAAAAATCTCTCTCTAATAGTGTGTACACCCCAGCGGCCAGTGAATGACCTAGGCCATGGATGTCCGACGTTGGCCTTGGTATCGGTCTCCCCTGGCATCGTCCATGGTCATCACGTCCACCCCCTGCAGTCCCTTGGATAGCAGCTTCTGTGCCGAGGCAGGCTCGATGGTGAACTGTGCAACTGTCTTGCAGTTGGTGCCTGTGTCAGGCAGGAAGGAGAGGAAGCCTTGCGCATCGGTGGAGCCGAGGGTTTGCTGGATGTTTAAAGTCAGCATCCGTGGGTCCATTCCGCCCAGGCTCCCGTCCTTGGCAATGAGGACCAGTGTCACAGCGAGTTGTGCGCCCGCAGCCGCGAAGTATACTTCCGCCACATCCTTCGTCGCCGTCTTTTGCAGCAGCTCCTCCAGCGCGTTCTCGCCGTCACTGGAGTCTCCGTCTGTTTGCTCCTGTCCGGGAAGTGCGGCAAAAGGGCTGGGCTCCTCCGTATTGGGAGCAACCGCAGCTATTGGCGGTGGTGAGGGTTGGCGACGCCGCTTGCCAAGTGCTGATCCAGAGCGCTCGATGCTCATACCCTCAAGCTCACCGGCCACTGCACTGGAGTCACTCCGTTCCTGTCCGGCAAAAGTGGCGGCGCACGTGAGGCGCAGTGCGAGTGCAATGAGAATGATTGTTTTCGTTTGCCCTCGCCGAGGGCGAGGGCTACCGGTCCAGGTGAATCCGGTGGGTCGCGATGCGGCGCGCAGGCGGGGCGGCCGCACCACGGGCGGGGGTCTCGACGAAGAGGCCGACATGCCGACGTAAAACAATACTCACACCCCGGAAGAGTTGGAACCCAAGCCAAACCAAAGGCGCGAGATGGCGATGCGGCGGCCGAGACGCTCCGTACCTCCAATCCTCTTCCACCGTCGCCTATGCACGGCGCACTTCTCCATCACATGCGCCGTCGCCTGCCCCTCCGCTCTCCAGCACACCTCTTCCGCGCTGTGATTGTGGCGCTTCCAACCCGTGTCCCAGGACGCAAGATGCCCGTCGTCGGACTCAACGACCTCAAGGATGAGGGCACCGAGAAGGAGGACGCCGAGCGGCAGGCCTACTACGCCGGCGGCCAGGGCCGCGGCGGAGGCGGCTCGGGGCAGGAGGTGCTCGACCCTCGCGATCTGATGAAGCGCGCGCGCGACGAGATGGGCGCGGAGACGGAGGGCGAGTGGCGCGCCAACCAGCCGAGCGGCGCGGTCGCCTTTGCCGGCGCGGGCCAGTCGCTCGACGGCGCCACCTCGGTGCTTGGCCACCGCGCACTGCCCGTGCGTTTGCGCCTCTCGCCTCTCGCCCGCCTCTCGCCCGCCTCTCGCCCGCCTCTCGCCCGCCTCTCGCCCGCCTCTCGCCCGCCGCCCTCCGCCCCGCCAAGCGCCTTCCTGGCCCCACCTTCGCAGACTGCCTGGCCCCCGCCTGGCCCTCCCACCCACTCCCTGCTGGCCGACCGCCCTCCCCCTACCGCCACGGTACCCGAACCCACCCTCCCCCTACCCCCCGGCACCCGAACCCACCCTCCCCTATCCCCCGGCACCGAACCCCCCCCCCCCCCTCTGCTTCCTTCCTAAGTCCCGAGAGCTCGCGCAGCAGCCCCTCTAAGGCCCAATACAGCCCGACCAATCTCCGGGTTGCAAAGGAACTGCCCTCGTCGCAAAGCGTCATAAACGACCCTACGCTGGTCAAATTTGCGTACGATCAGGTCCCAGCCCCC